CAAAACAAAAGGAGTGAGCATGACTTTTGCGTTTGCCGTTATCCCTACCTAATATCTCACAGGCAAGCTGCTAAACACGGAGGCGGCACTGTCGCGAACCATCTGGGGAATTTTATTTCAGATTTCTAATTACTGCATCTGCGTATAGGTGTAGTGGGATACACTGAGCCGATCTCCTTTTCATACAAGACCGCGGTTAATACCGTCTTCACAGGTAAAAAAAATTTTATAACAGTGTTCAGACATCTAGTCGTAAACACCATCAATGGTCAGCAAAATTCGACTCCTGGGCTTGGACTAAACCCTACTCAAGATCCCGTTAAAGCTGCTCAGAGACTAAGTATCGTTCATCAGGTTCATCAGGCAGCGTACTACCTTGTACATGTGACCACTTGATGTTTGTTGACCACCTTGGTGTTTGTCTTGCACCTGTGAAAGTAAGCACACCTTTGGGCTAAAGCAAAGCAAATTACTCCATGTTTAGGAACGGCCTGCCTACCCTCAGGTCCCTGAACCTTGGACTTCACTAGAGAATTAGTTGAGGAAGCTTCAGTCAGCATCGTGTACAAAAAGAATAGAGGCAGAAAAGGGACTACGGGACGGCAAGCAGATGCTAGACAATAATGGAATCCTCACACTTCCCATGCATTATATTCGTGTTCGAATTTATTTTTTGTATTATATACTAGAGAGTTTAAGTCGGCCTTTATGGAGGAAGAACCGGGAACCAAAATTGGAACGCGAAAATCCATGCGTTAAGACCTTGAGGAATCCCTATCTGGGTGACTTCTGCCATTCGGTTCATCTGCACTCCTATCCCCGTTCTTCCCATGATCAATGCCTAAAAATCTACTGCAACTAAGCCTCTCTTAAAGTCAATGGTTCAGAGATTTGAGGTTAGAAAGGCAGTTCCTACAATATTAACCTCTTCCATTTAAAGCTTAACTTAAACGCACTAACATATATCACATTATTTATTCTTAGATAGGTGTTTATTCCTGCCTCATGCTATCTATTACCTAATTGAGAGTACCGAGACGCTACACGCAGGAAGTTAATACAATTTGTCTGCGGCTTTAACATCTTATAGTAGGGCGTCAAAATCAAGATGATGAGTCAAAGTACCAATATGCTAAAAAGCGTCTTAGTAGTAAACAGAAATCTCTTTGACAAAAAAACCAATAATTCTCTTTGCTGTTCTTAGTAAACAATAACAAGTTTTGTTAATAAAGTGATTAATACGAGAAAAAATTCCCATAAAATTCTACCGATTTGTTTTTAGTTTGTATATGCTACTGACTGGCACGTCACTCGGGCGTAATTATTGGATCGAAAAGGATGGTTACGGACGTGCAGCTTACCATATTCGTGAACATCTCGGGGCTTTTCCTGTTTTGCATGGTAGTACTGTACCACTACATTTCCCTGGAAGGAGATCATTCCTCTTCGAAGACCAGGAGGAGATTAAATCTCACAGTACCTGAGAATGTTAAACAGTAGCCTATCCTGCAATATTCTTTCTTTGGATATTTTTTTAACTGGAAGCGAAGTCTTTTGTTCAGTAACTTGTGAAAACGTTGTTAACTCCGATTAACTAGTGCGTTGTATACGTTGTATTCACTCCCGTCTGTATCGGCTTCTTCCTTACATGGTCTTTCCGTTTCCTCATGAATTCCTATTGTATATGGACTTTTCAAGGAATAAACTTCTCTTTAGTCCATTGCTGTTTTTCTTCAGTAGATTGATTCCCCGTGGCATAATTTTATGTCATTGGTAGTAGTTTATCTCTTACCCTTTTGAATGGGTACGACGACTAACCCTCAAATAAATACAGATAGAGTTTCTTAAACTTGCTTCATTCTACCAGAATTTTTATCTAGTGTCTCTCGAAACACCATCGTAGTACTTCGGCATCCCAAATAGTAAGGCTCCTTGTATTAGGTGTAGGAACTGTTGGCGTAGTGGAGTAAATTGAGACACCATAGCCTGGGACTGGCAAATTTTGCCGAAAGGGTGTCTGTCAGGAACGTTAGCTCATACCTTGAATTTGGTGTTACTATCGGGGCATACGTGAGCACTTCAAACGTTGAGAGTCTCAATGCCTTCAACCAGCATTTCCATCTCTGCAAGTGAGATATCGACTACTGGAATCAAAATTCTCAGCTCCGCAACATTCCCACATTCAGGAAGGCGAATCCCTGAGGGCTGTTCGGGTGCCATTTAGGTTGTCCAGATCTACTAGTAAGCCCCAGCATCCCATTCCTCCCTGTCATTATTACTGTCCCAATCAAAAGCGGTAGTGTTAGTGGCAAAGGAAACTATACGAGTAATTAGTACGACCATCTTCTGCTATATCACAAGTAAAATGGCACAGGGTTGAAGAGTCAAAGCACAGGAGTCTGCGACCACAAAAACGTATCTCTCCCCTTGCCAATGCAGTTTCCATCTACTTCCTTTCGGCGCGCTTCGCTGCCACCCAGGCCTGGATCTTGGCTTTCAACTCCGTCTCTGGTATCACCATTGACATTTCCAATGGCTGCCGATTGAAGGGGTCCTTTGCGTCACTGTAAAGTAAAACAAGATCAATTCATTATTCAACATTCGGGAACAATGATCCCTACCTAAGTAAATGTCTGTAGATGGTTTTTCTGTCGACAATCTTGTTCGATGTCGGCAGCCGTACTGGATCCTCCATCAATTCACCCATAATTGGATCACAGAAATCATCAGGTGCATCCTCGAAACCCAATGCGTCCTCTGTCACTGCCACTTGTTCGGCCTTAAAGAAGAAGGGAGGACAATGTTAATCCCAGAGGAGGAAAAGCACTTACTTGAAGGGCTTTCGCAACACAGCTGAACTGATTTACGAACTGTGTGTCTGTAGCGACACGATGCAGCACACGAAGAGCCTGATCCAATAAATCCGGTGTGTAGGAACGACCATCGCTCACAACTGCTCTTAGAAACGCCATTACTGTAGTGCTGTTATTCACACCAGCCCTATCCAAACCCAGATTCACGTAGACTCGACATATCTCCTCCACAAAGAGCTCCGGTCTAAAGCCATACGTAGATTTGTCCCGAACAATCAACTCACGACTTTTCGGACCAACAAGGCGAGAGAGGAAGTAATTGAGCATGCAAGCGATGCGATCTACAAGAATGGGATGAGTGACTAGGCGGGGACAGAGGGAGATGACACGACGCAGCGCTGAGATGTTGTCCAATCCCAGGCTAATGTGGTAACGTGCCAAGCGACTCATGTGCTGAAACATGCTCTCCTCCTCTCGGTTAGCAAAACGTCCACCCTCCACCTCTCTCTGTCGCTCCTTCTGCTTTAACTGCGCCAAGAATCCGATAGCTTCGTCTAGCAGGAAGGTGGCATCGTTAATGAGGAGTGAGAGAAATTGCAATAGTAGGGGAGGGCGTGCGTCATCGATATGCTCCACAGCAAGGTCCTCAAGGTGCTTGAATTGGATGTCGTAGTCAGCTTTACCGTACCAGAAGCGCAGACAGGCGTACATGGGCCGGCGATAGTGGAACTTCTCTTCGAAACTAACGGCCGCCGTCTGCACCATCTCTTGCCGGCTAGTTTCGACGTTGGAACTCTCCACCGCACTGGTGACGCTGTCCAGCGTCGATGTGGTCGCATCCGTCCCAGGTGACAACTCGATCGCCACGAAGGCCGTCAGGAGGGCAGCTATGGCATCCTTTAGACATGCCGCACCAGCGCTTTTCATAAGCTCCTCACGCCGAATGCTTGGGGAGGAGGAAGAAACACTTGTCAGCATACAAAACAGACTCCAACAAATTAACAATGATGACAAACATGCCCAATTCAACGAGAATCAGTGATGTGAAGTGGGATTGCCAATTGATCGTGGATTTTTACTATCTGAAGGCTGCAGCAATGATGGACGGACTGAAACATGGCGAGCGAACAGTTCATTGGCATAAAATTGGGTTAAAAGATGAGCTGATGCAACGTACAATCGCAAACCGGACGCTGTGAAGAGGTTTGAGCCAACAGGTCTGCTATTCCACTCCTCATCATCACGGAAGGGAATAAGAGCCTCCAGGATTTCGGCTAGACGCGCCCTCAAATGGGGATTGGTCAGAGCGAAAGGATGATGCATAAAAACGATCGAGAACTCGAGTAGCGGCTCCAGGGCCACGTCAGCGGCTTCAGAAGACTGGAAGGGAAAAAATTATCGTAATTTGAACTGCTGCGCCCAATGGAGAGTACCTCAATAAAGTCATCATTGAGACGTCGGAGATAGCCAACAATCTCCACAACATTGTCCACGAGGAATTCAGGTAAAAGGGAGAGGTCGGCGGAGTCCCGACTTGCCAAATCGACTAGCAGACGGCACGTAGTCGCAGCGAAGGCCAAGTAATCGTGTAGTCGACTGGGACAACTCAGCACTGCTGTCTGCTCGAGGAAACGTGAGGTGCGCTCCCGCAGACAATACTGAATGAAACGATCTAATAAGTGAAGCAACAAATCGGGCACTTGACCTCCCGTACATACATAAAGGGAGAGTAAATAAGCGTAACAATGAGACAAAAAGCTTCAATATGGTAATGATACGTAAGAAAAGTCGAAGAAGGCTCAAAAAGTTTAAAGCAGTCCTCAACAAATTTAAACCAACAAGAAGTTAAGCAAGGCTTATATACACCTAGATGGGATTTCCTTCCCAACTCACCATCCTGAGAGGAGTTAGGAGAGCCCAGTAGAGAGCCTACCATGAAAGCAGCTGACTCGCCATTAGACGAGCGCAGATTAGCCTCCTGCTCCCACTGGTGCAGCTGTCGATTGGTTTCAAAGTGCAGCGCCAGCAACGTTGGAAAAGCCAGTCGAAGAGCTGTGTGCGCCAAGAAGAAGAGATCAGTGAGGAGGGGGAAAGCATCGCTTTCTTCCTCCGCCAGCACATCGCCAGAGTGCTGCCGATTCAGCCTAGTTTCTTCTCCCAATTCTAAACACGAATACAACACACAGTGAAGATGAGCAAAAGGCAAGCAGGAATACCCTAAAAATGACACGACTTGCCTTACCAGGCAAAATAATCTTAGCTTTTTGCGACACCACAAAGGCGGGCCTGACAAGGCTAAGCGGTGACTTGGGCTGAAAGAGGGCACCCACAGCGGCAGCAGGAGGAGTGAGAAGGGGCTGACAGAGGCACACCATAACACTAGCAAGGTTGTTGAGAAAGCCATCGCTGGCTAACTCGAACTGCTGTTCCTGTCTTCGGAGATCGTCGGCACCACCACTTCCGAGAGTATTGGCTAACTGTTTGCGTGTCCGATTGGCATGAAGGCAGGAACCGAGCCATCTGAAAAAGGATTCCTTCACTGCCTCGCTTTGTTTGCTGGTGCGAAGGAGGTTCTTGAATAGCAATGTCAGGTTCTTGTCCAACTCCGTGGTAAGCTGCATCCAATGGAGTAAGCAAATAATGGATCAAGACAGTAAAGGCAAGAAGTCTATGGATATGTCCATAAATATGCCTAAAAAAGGTCACTTGACAACGACTTGCTACCTCAAGGAAAAGGTGAATGAAATCGCAACTCACCAGTTGAAATAAGCGACTGTGGAGGATTCAAAACAACCAGTAGCAAAAGTTCAATGCATGACCAGGTCAACTTTATTTCGAATACTTAGTCGAGTCATAAATTGCGTGGAAATGCTACTAAAACTCCTCACTGGGACAGTAACAAAATTTCCTGAAGATTTATCCCCTCCATACACCACTCCGACCTTGCACACATTGGAGGTATCACTAAAAATTTTCAAGAAATTTGAGCTACTACATCAAGAAAAGGAAATTCAAAGAAAATTCTTCAATTACGCTGACATGGTTTGTCGACCGAAGTTGAGGTGAATTGAATGAAGTCAACTTCGAATACAAAAAAAATAGGATCCTTAAACATACTGGTAGTGGATTGAGATTTGAGACGAGGTTGCTACATTCACCACCAGGATCTCAATTTACGCAAGAACATTATGCATTAATTGCACGATTATGGAACCAACCAACATTGAGATTGCGTAGCAGAGTGAAAAGCCTAATGTGCCCAATACTCAAGACAAAGATGTTGGGCATTACGAAGATTAAGATTTGTTCACAGCAAACCTGCCAGATAGTAGACTTGTCTGCATCCACAGACGGTTTGATGGGAACCTGGTCTGTGAAGAATTCACCAGCCCAAGTGTTTCCACCAGTATTAGACTCAAGAAGGGAGGTCTGAATAGATTGGAGGGGAAGGAGAGGACTTGGTATCAATAGGAGGCCCAAGAGGCCGTCCTCGTACCTCCAGCCTTGCTCTGAGGCACTATCAGTTTCCGGAAATGAAAACTCCAACAGCAGCTGAAACAGAGGACAAGATAGTGAAGTGGCACGAAAATGAATGCAGGAAAACAGCCTATCCATACTTTCGCAGTCACAGGATATTTTGCTAAAAGAATGCAGACATTGAGAAGGCCATTCCTGTCGGTCTGAAAGAGGAGACGAGCCTTTCTGCCGGGGTGAGCAAGAGTGTCGCGTCGCGTAAGCCGACGCAGAAGTTGCTGAAGTGGATCGTTGGAAACGTTTGTTGCGGAATCTCGCGGGTCCTCACCCAACTCTCGTAATGTCTTTAACAGATTTCTTACGAGAGGTCTAATAGGTACAGTAAGACTTTCATCATCCTGAACAGTCGTGATTCCAAGAAGAAATGTATCAATGGCGACAACGTTATCCGGATCAGCTGTTGGTCAGGAAAGGATTAAAAAGGTTTAAATTAGGGTAAGAATCGAAAAGTAACGCAAAATCGACCTACAGTGCGGATGTGTATAAGCTATGAGGAGAGTGAGTAGACTTTGAGCTGCAGTTTCTACTTCCATTTCGGTATCCAGAAGTAGACAAAGTGATGCCTGCCTAAAGATTTGAGTTTGACAAGCCTTTGCGATTCGCATATTAAATTCTTGCTAAAAAATAAGAAAAGTAAAATAAACCAATAGCTATAACAGTTTTAAAAAACATTTTAGGTTGAGCGCACTTTGGAATCAACAAAGGTTAGGGAACGACGAAAGCTTTCAAAAAGATAGGTGATAGGATCCAGTTGGAAGGCGGGATCGGATGGAGGAGAAGAGTTAGGACAAATGCGCTCCACTGGAATACTTCTCATTTGAGATCGTTCAAACAGAAGCTAGGGGTTCGGACGAATTATTGAAGAACTGATGAAGATACCTGATCAAGGGTGTCAATTGTAAAATATCCATCGGCATTCGTTAAGTCGTTCCCAAAAAGCACCGATGGATGACCACTTGTGGACTCTAAAGTAGCCACAAAATTACATTATGCAATAAAACAGCAACAAGAGAGCAGACGATAATAGAAAACAGTGGATTACTCTTGACCAAAGTGTGAACAAGTTAGAACAAATCGCCAAAAGAACTAACTCAACTTTTCAAAAAAGAGGGGACAAAAAATGATGCCAACAACAACAAAATCAGCAACACCTGACGCCCAACAGAGGCTAGCAGGTTAAACATTAACCTGAGAAAATATACTAACGAACCTTGTTTAGACGTGACTAAAAAAATTTGTTCGATGATTTCACTTGTAGCACGAACTTCTGCCAGAAATTTAGGCGATTTAGGGGGCATTTCCGATATTGGAAGCCGCGAAAATGACCTATCCATAAACAAGAGAAAGTGAGCAATCAGGTCACACTGATCAGTGCTGTGTGAAATAACCAGCCAATCATCAGGCTGCTTATGAGATGACTTGTACAATGAGGTCAAAGAAGTCATCTGTTTCGTCAAAGAAAGCCAAAATTATTACTATGCCACCTCTATAGCAATACAATAGCAACAGTCAGAGGAATTAAGGAAATATTTTAGTGGTCGTTGAGTCTACTTAATACAAATGCGAGATCAACTTCAGTACAATTAGCACACATTTGGATTTATTTTGGTTCATTACAGTAACTTTGCGCTTAAGCATTATGGAAAGCTTGATTTTGTAAAAGCATACTGTAGTGAATCAAAACTTCCTAATATATAAAAGAAGTCATTAAATTGGGCTAAATGAATGCATTCTAGGTGGATAAGAGGAGATGGAGTTCTTATATGGCCAGAAGGTCAGACCACGAGAACAAGGGCATAAGACTAAAATAAACATAAACTAACTATTACAAATGCGGCATTAGGTTCCCGAGGGCTAGGTGGGCAATTAGAGAGATAGCATCAACCTGGTAACTCTCATAATAATGGAAAAGATATTCAATGTAAAAAAGTTTTTAATTTAAGGGAAAGAGCAAGAGATCCACCTTTGTTTTGCTTCGAGGGCCAAGTTACGCAATCTAGGGCAAAATATGTGCCAATATTAGGTTGCAATACTTTGGTCATATGACCTGATGTCTGGAGGTAACTTTAAAGTTCGTCTGGCCCTTGTACACGCTGCAGCGCCCGGAGGCTTTCCATAGGGTGGAAGAAAGCAGTGAGTGAGGCTGGATACATGTATTCCGAAGAGAGCAGAGCAAATGGGCCCGAGCATGACCCAAATGCCAGCCACGTGTACAATGACCAGACAAACGTTAGATTGACCGTCAAACGCCATGTGCTCACATAAACAAAGCATTACGCTGCCCCTTTCTTTTGAGCGGCGTCCTCGGTGCTCCCCTTGGTACACCTTCCGTGCCAGCCATCACACCGTATTCGGTACTACATGAAAGCGCCCACGAGCCAACCGTGCTAGTCGACAGATAGCGTCAGACTGAAGGGCCGTACCTGTTCTACTCAGCAGCTTCAACTATAGATCGAGTTCCGTTCCTCAACCACATGATAGCTGCTGACTTGCGTGCCTGGCTCGTGGTTGCTTCTTTGCAGTACCGAATGCTTTAATGCCTGGCAGGGGAGGTGTACTACAGGCCTAGTTCCTGACTAAAATAAACGTATTCAGCTCCGCTTACTGCCTCCTTGTATCCTTTGAAAAGTATCAAGGCGCCACATGGGGTCCACAATTTTACACGAATTTCAGAAAGATTTTGATTACGTTAAAAAAGGTAAATATCAATGTAATATTTACTAGTTTGTTTAAGTGTATTTTTATAGGTGAGAGGCGGGAACCAATTTGGAACGCGAATCAGGTGCAAGAAGCCAGCGAGGAGTCTTCCTCCGATTGATATCGTCTACTCGCCTCATCTGCATCCAATTCCCCACCCTTCCTAATAACAAATGGTCAATAAATCATCCGCAACCAACTGTCTTTTGAAGTTTGAGGTTCAAGGACCAGAGGGTAGACAGGCAGCTCTTACAGTCAAAACACTCGAGATTACACATAGACTATATTTTGTCGAAGAGTAGTAATCAATGCCGTAGCAACCGTCTGTCTATCCTCTGGTCCTTGGTCCTCAAACTTCAAGAGTTTGTTGGCTGCAGACGCTTTATTAGACATAGCTATTAGAAAGGGTGAGAATGGGATACAGATGAGATGAGTTGGAGACATCAATCAGAGGGGAACGCCTCACCGACTTCACGCATGTGATTCACGTTTCCGATTGGTCCCGCCTCCCACCTATAAAAGTCCACTTAAACAAATTAATAAATTACAAATCTATAGGAGGAAACATGAAGTAATGAGGTTTGAAGCAGTTGTAACTAGATTACTCTCGTTTAATGCTTATAGAGATGGTTAAAGCTACATAAGATAGAAACCACTGCTTCCCATTATGGTACCACCAATTCTGCTGCAAAGCAAGAGGTTGTTTGATGTAAGATGTGGTGAACAGATTTCAACAACTTGATATTTTTTGTTATGGATTTCTTTTCATGCAATAATTATCAAATTATATATTATTTAAATCTTCTTACATAATATTCACTATGGATAAGCGTTCACAATAAAATATCAATCCCGTTGCGCTTCTACTGGTGTAAACGCGTACATTCTGTCGAAGTCTGATGAGCTTATTGCACAATTTTTTTAATTGGCAATTAAAATTCCCTCCTTTTCATTCTGTTCTGTGCCAGTTTAGCCTACTGGGATTCCTTAACCTTGTCCCCGGAGAATGTTTGAGTGTGTTGCCGTAATTTCTAGCAAAAACACCCCGTTGTTTTTCAAGACTTCGAATCCAGATGAATCGTTGCCGAATCAATTCCGTGTTTATGGCTCACTCGACATAGTCGAAGAAAAACTTAGCAAGTTTTCATCTCGATCATCTTATGGTGACAAGGAAACAGCAAGCAATTATCTGGGATTGCTTTATCCCATCGACGATCACTACGTATATGGATATGTAACGAATACCAACATAAAGGTGCGTTGGTGATGTTGGACATAATGGTTAACCGCCTTTATCTCATGACTTAATTTCGCTTGTGTAAATGCAGTCTTTATCTAGTTTATCCTAGTCCAAGAAGTTCACTTCACTGTGAATGAGTTGCTGAAATCCAGCTCAGCTGCACAGGTGGACAACCAGATTAAGAAAGTCTTCGAAACCCTTCATGACGCCTACGTGGAGCTTGTCTCTTCACCCTTTTACGTCCCAAACACGCCCATTGATCCATCCGCTTCTGACGCCACAAAGAAATTTGACCATGTTGTTGATAAAATTCTCAAGCGTTCTGCCGACGCTATAATTTCAAAGTTGTAAAAACTTTTTTTTTATTTGTTACGATTTCTGTGTCATTGTCGCAGACGGACCTCACCCTTTTTGTGTATTTATAATTGGCTTTGAAGGATCTAGTTTACTTTTTCTATTGTGGCAGTTTTTTGACTTGGCTTTTCATTTTTGGCTGGATTGCATTGTTTCGGTTTCAAATTCCTGTTCATGTTTGGGTCTTATGTTTTGCAGTACCTAATGTATTTCAAGGGTCCGATATAATCTTGCGAACTAGTTATGTGCTTGATCTTTGCTTTTTAACTGGTAAAATGGATAGCGTTGTATTCGGAGGTTGAATTTATTTAACTTCATGATGCTGCTATACCCTAACTTTGTGTTTTTCTTATTACTGGGTCAGACGAGTATGAGAATAGTTTGGAGATGATTTTGCTCAACTGCAGGAGCAAGTTGAAAAGGTACTAACTCACCATGTAAGGCGCCTTAATGGCATTCAATATCTTTCATTAATTCTCCTTAGTACTACCGTCTAGCATTCTCACAGCATTCGGGTTTACCGAGTGACTGTAGAGGTCCTCATGATGGGTTTGGGATTTGTCTCATGTGGTGTCGTTCTTAGCTGCCCTGGGAGATACAAAGACCTGCCTGTCTTCAGTTGTTCATTCTTAAAGGACTTACACTTGTTCATCTGTGCACAAGCAAGTGCTCTCCCCAAACAACGGAATTGAGGTATTTATTTCCAATGTGGCGGGTGGGCTTGATGCCGTCATCGAAGCAGTCAACTTCATCTTCGCCGAAGTTACAAGCGTCCGCATTGATCGAAGGATGTTCATAATTGTCGGGAAGGCTCCATACTTACAGACAAGAAGAACAATTGAAATAAGTAGATAATTAGCAATAATTACTGAAGAGGGGTCTTTGTTGGTTCATCTTTTATTTTACCCAAGTTGCTCTGCCTGTTCTGTGTGCCGGAAATGCATTCCGCACTGGCATTGCATAGTCCTGCACGCTTCATGTGCACCGCTTCTAGGGCCTTCCTAGTCAAAGACTTAGTCAATAAGCACGTGATAAGTTGGTAGGAGACACTGAGAAGACAGGAGCAACCATGGCATCAGTGGCCATTAACAGCGTCACTCTGTTGTCTCAATCGCTTAATGTGACTCAATCTAGCCTCGAAAGTGCGTCCTTCTCTGAAATTGTTTATGAGGATGTTGTCAGAGATGTGACAGTCAGATGGGAAGCTGTAATAGTGGGGAGTGTGCCACAGGGAGCTGCTCGGCTATTCACCACTACCTATACTCACATTCCTCCACTTGCTCAGGAAACTCCAGACGATCCAGACCTGCTGCCAAGCTTTCGAGATCCGTTGAGACATCTCCGTCTCGATGTGGACAAGCGCTGCTATCGTGACGATGTGAGTGAAGTCGCAAATAAGGTGGAGGTGAGGGAATTTGGGTCAAAGGGAGGACGAGTTAGTACAAACATTGGAACTCGACATCCAAAACGCTTTCTACGTACACCG